AATGTACTGTCAAATTTTCTATAAGTTTTCATGGTTTATTGATTGAGAGCATTCCATAAAAAATTAAGCTATAATGAACATAATGGAAAACAATTTCATTCTTAATATAATTTGTCTGGTTTTGTTGATTTTATAGATATGAACCATTCCTATGGAAGTGGTCTATTTCATTCTATATTGGAACAATGGTGTTTATATTATCAGTCTTGCAATCATGGTTGTGGTATCTTCTTGGTGAAAATCCAATACTTTTTGCGCTGTATTTTATATTTGATAACCAAATTAGGGTAAGTCACTTTTTTAATTATATTTAAATACAAGTGTATTGTGATTTTCTTGAACCTTGTTTAGATTTAAGATATTTCCATTAATTACAGTGTACAGCGTGAATGAAAAAAACATAAATGTTGAAAAAAATATGCACATTTTAAGAGAATATTGTTTATATACCTTCTGAATTTAAATTGTAATAATTATTCAGGTAGTCAAATGTTTTCAATCATGCACAAACACTTGATGCAAAGCAATTCTTGCCATGATGTTTTCATGTACAATTTGTCATGTCATGTAACGTTACAGGACAAGTCTGTTTCAACCACTCAGAATGCTGCATCCTACTGATGAAATTCTCTGAGAATTACTGCAATGTTAAAATTCGATATGTTGACATATCATTTTGACAACATTTAAAAAAAAAAAAATGGTGAACCACAATTTTTGTGGAAGTGTTTTAATACCTTTCATTGTCAATAGGTCATGTCATAGCATAGTGTATCCATTCACATTCCATTCATGATAGTATCAATGGGCACTGTAATTATTTAGAAAAGTAAAACAATGTACAATGACCGGGTTTCATGACATGAAGATCTTATGTTTGGCTTTTCAGAAGCTACCTGCTTCCAGTTGCTTCTTCAACAGAACAGAAAGAGTGTGAACCATGTTGGGTTGTTAGGCATATGCTGAAATTTATGCAGGTTTTCTCTATAAAAACAAAAACCAAATAGCTTTTTTTAGAAATGCCACTTACTCCAATCATGTAACAATCCCAATGCAATAAAACACACTTTTTATGTGCATATTTTAATAAATAACTTTTTTATTTTCAAGATTAAACTCATTTTTGACGCCCAGTGAAAAACATCCTGGGTGTATAGCCTAGATGCCCTCAACTTGTTAAATGTCTAAAAATTAAAGGGTGAGCTTTATACCCCGGGAGGAGTATATGATCAGGGAATTACAGAATGGCTGATATTTATTATAGTTAGTTGGAGCAAAGTTTTGATAGTTAATTTCAGATTTTACTAAGTACACTATGGC